GCCCTGTAGCTGATCAGCTGAAAATGATTGATTACGAAGCCTTTTTTGTATTCATTGTTATCATCTATATGGGCCCTGTAGCTGATCAGCTGAAAATGATTGATTACAAAGCCTTTTTTTGTATTCATTGTTATCATCTATATGGGCCCTGTAGCTGATCAGCTGAAAATGATTGATTACAAAGCCTTTTTTGTATTCATTGTTATCATCTATATGGGCCCTGTAGCTGATCAGCTGAAAATGATTGATTACGAAGCCTTTTTTTTTGTATTCATTGTTATCATCCATGTGGTCCCTGTAGCTGATCAGCTGAAAATGATTGTATAATGATTCCTTCTTTACTTTTTTTACTAAACATGCATTGATCTATAGTTTAGTTTTCTACCTATTAGTATACGTAGAATATGATTTTATTTTTGCTGATTATTGTTAGTTTGCTAATGATAACATTATTGCAAAGAATTATAAAAAACGCACCATTTAACATTTTGTATTACCACTTTGATGGAAACAAATTAAAAAAAATAATTCCTATAAGATTATTGTAGTAAATTAAATTAAACTGGGTGTAAAGAATACAATGATTTTATAGTCAATAAGAAAAGCACTAAAACCTCTCAACTAAATGCCCCAAAATTCAATGGCGGCTGTCTATTAAATCCTCACGATACAAAATTATCCCTTATTAATGACATTTTCTAGAGAAGCCTATTGGTCGTCTAGTTCAAAACAGTCTATAGAAAGTGAGATGAAACATTTTGCCGCCTGGTACATTGGAGACGGATTGCATGATGCAAGCCCAATGTGGGATATCACGGCGAGAATGTTGTTTTGAAGGGCTTCGTGGCGAAATGGGCCCCAAACCCGTGAAAAGAGAACCTTCCCATCCACGGTTACGTCACTGATCATCTCACTGTAGGGGCTTCACCACTGTGATTTGTATACCGGTAGTGACTTATACAGGGTGTCCCGGAACTCTCTACCAATATTTTAGGGCATTACTCCTAGGTAAGAAACATACCTAAATATCATATTTAAATTGTCCGGAAGTCCTTAGTTACTCACACAGCCGCAATTTTTTTTTAGTGATTATTTTTTCTAAAGAATGGTTAAACATACGAAATGGAAACTTTGCACAAACATTTATGACAACTAGACAAAGCTACCAAAAAATTATCACGATTTTTCAAATTCATAAAACAAAATGGTGGCCATTTAAAATTTTTGTAAAATCAATGGTTTTTGAATTATTTGAGAAAGAATAATTTTAAATGGCCGCCATTTTGTTTTAAGAATTTGAAAAATCTTCATAATTTTTTTGTAGCTTTGTCTAGTTGTCATAAATGTTTGTGCAAAGTTTCCATTTCGTATGTTTAACCATTCTTTAGAAAAAAATTAATAACTGAAAAAACAAAATGGCGGCTGTGTGAGTAACTAAGGACTTCCGGACAATTTAAATATGATATTTAGGTACGTTTCTTACTCAGGATCAATGCCATAAAATATTGGTAGGGAGTTCCGGGACACCCTATATACAGAGAAAGGCAAAAGTCGACATTCGGTAGCCAAAAGGTTAATTTGTTGTGGACAGTTCCTATCACGTTTTCTCAACTCTTTCATGCCGTCCGTTAACGGCCACAACTGAAAAGAGGCTGGAGTACTGAATTTCTTTGCTGATCTTTAACCAAGAAGTTTAAAGATGTTCGTTGGTTCACAACCTTGAGAACACGGGGGCTCACAATATTTGAAACCAATGCTGAAAGCAGTCAAACGAAAAGTATCAAAACATAATATCTGAGATAAACCAAAACAAGTTCACCACCACCGCCGACCTAAAACATTGCCCCACATTATCACCTAATTTTATATTTTTTATAAACTGTATAATTAATGCAATAACGGGTTTCTCTATTACATCCCTGTTCCAGCCGTTGATCTTTACGATTGAGTTGTCATTTTAAAGTTATGATCTAGCGGAGTGCGAATGGTGACTAAAAAAGTAATGCAGTATATTTTAGGACTTTGCTCCTTGGTGTTTTTATTACTAGAGTTTCCATTCAATGATCCATTGATACTGACCAGCATTTTATAACGGTTTGAATGTTAATTGTAATTCAACAGCTGATCTATCAATTGAATGTTTTAACCGCCGTCAAATTGAATCAAGAAACAAAGCAGTTTATGAAAATCCATTTAAATACGTTACTTTTAGCGAATTTCCCTATAGGGAAGTAGCTATCACCGTAGGTGGCACGGTAAGACCTAGACCCGGGACCGATTTACTTTTTCATTTTGATGTCCCCAGAGGCCAAAAACACTATTCGTTAAAATTTTTATATATGTATATATATATATATATATAGACTTATATATATATATATATATATATACGTCCGTGAACGCGATAACTTGAGTAATTTTTGTCCGATTTTGATGAAATTCGGTTTAAAGGTGTAAAGCGGGATAAACTTGAATGAGTTCGCGAACCAGCACGATCGGACCATGGGAACGGGGCTTTACGGGGGGTTTTATGGGGTAAAAATTGGTTTTTCTCACTTTTGACCCTCAAAACACAAAATTTCCCAATTTCTCTTTAGACCTTTTTAAATAGCTTAAAAAAACAAATAATTTAGTATATAAAAGTATTTTTGTTCGATTATTAGTAACGGAGAAAATTAAAAAAATTGTAAATTTAAAATTCCCATGTTATTCTTATGGAGAATATTGTCAAATGTTGTAGTTTGCTTGTTTATGAATATATTTTGATCAAACTTGGCAAATTTATTTATTTTGTACTAAGCTATCAATATTTTACTCAAAAACACACTTTATTAGTTTCCTTGTAGCAGCAAACCTAGGTACTCGTTAAACCTAATGTTATTAAAATATATTTAACTGAAAATCAATTTAGACAAATGGAAATTCGCTTAGTCGGCAGGTTTGCTGCGGCGGGGGTATTTTAATTCTAATCTGATTGATGCAAGTTGACAATTCTTCTTGGTGTATACAGATACAATTAATAATGTAATTTTGTAAATTAGTAGTTTTATTCATCTAATAACCGTCCTATTCAAACATGATCCATGAAAGGAAAAGGGTGTTTCCTCAAAAACTAGTCTTGAACCTGTCCACCTGTACTTTGTAAAATGTCTCGTGTAATATTTGTAATATTTTATAAAATTAAGCGAGTTCATAAATGCTTTATTTATAACAATGACTAGGCTATTTCCCATTAATGGCAATAGCATGAGTGTTTGTTAGTAAAGTTTAAATGTTTCTTAGCTGTTTCCGCCACAGAGTTCTTTGACACTTATAATTAAACTACTGTTTATTTCCTGTTTGAATACAGATTTGCCTGTACCTGGTTGTAAGAACAAGCCCCAGTCTCTTTTCGAAGGGTCTTTAATTATTCTCCCCACTCCTTCTCAACCACTGCAAAATAATAAATGTGGACTCTACCGTTCTTAATTAGTTAATACATTCTAATTAGTTTCGGAATCTCATTATTTTTACCTAACACAATTAGTATGTTCTGCAAAACAAACATTTTCACTGTTTACAAATTTGTTTACAATATTTTTCTTATAATTTACAATTTAATAGTTGAACAGATTATTAATCTGCATGGTTCGACGCATTATAGGTAAATAGTTTGATGATTTGGTTATGTAAAACCTTTTATCGTAGTTTTGTCGTTAACAATTTGTAGTTAAAATGTGTTTAACAAAGGTTAAATATTCATCGTAACAGCGTTCAACATGGCATCAATAGCTTTTACCTGGATATAAACAATCCATGTTGGATGTTTGTTTCGACATACAAACATTCTCTCGGTCCTTTCATCTTGATAGTAGAGACCCATCGACTGTTTGAAGACCGTATATACATTTGCCCTTTGTAGAGCTCTAAAGATTGCGTCGGGCCAAAGAACTATTCTAGCATTCTTGCTTTTTAGATGAGGCAACATTATTATTATTTTTTCTTTCGTTAATTGGTGTCCAAACTATTTGGATACATTGGACAGACAGATATTAACCAAAATAAAAACATTTATGTATATTATGCTTCATGTTTGTTATAAGTTACAGCAGGCCTACATAATTTTTTGTCGGCATTTAGTACGGTAACTGCCAAAATATTTTTCAAAAAGTTGAAATATTGTTGTTGAGCATTGACTAAGTCAAAGGTTGTAGCTTATTCTTTCTTGGTTACTGATAAACTAAAAAAACACACACTAGTAATAACATTGGTTTTAATATGATTAAAACATATGTTTATCGTGGTTTGAGTCCACTCTTTGATGTTCGTTGGTCTTGTCCACGTTTTATATGTGGAAACGCAAAGTTTTGTATTCTTCACGCTTTCTATTACATCATTATTACCGCAGCAAGTGAGTTGTACCACAGACAAGGGAAACAAAGTCTTTTATTTCCTTAGTCAATGGTGTACATAACGGATGTAATCCACAATCTAAAACTTGGATACTCGCTAGCTGCTTCATTATCCCAAACATTGATCCCATACTAGGGGTGTGATTGTTTTTTTCTGGTAAAGTTAACCAGTTTCGTTAATGTAGGCGGTTCAAAATTAATGTATTCATTTACCATTTACTAACCAATATTATTAGATTTAATGTTGTACATTGTTTGAAAGCAATTGTAACCTTAGCCTAAATTTATTCTCATACGATTTTGCTATGGTGTGGTGTATCCACGTTTGCACGATTAAAGGCTAGCTATAATCTAAGTTAATTAACTGCACAAATTAAATTATTCTGGCCTGTCCGGTATGCTAGACTGTTTATTATTAAGTACGTTTAGCAAATACTTAATTTTAAAGTTAATTTATTTGCAGTGTAGATTTTGTTATAATTTTTAAAAACTTGTTATGAAAGGTCATGCAGTTTACCACGGGTTTTATAATTTTATTTTAGCCTAACCTATTCGCTAATTATTTACCAATAATGTATAATTGGTGCTTATATTTGGTTTTGATTTCAGGATCGACTTTAAAATGCATCATATGTAAGTAGGCGTCAGCTCTGCCTTTTTCTACATATACTTCTAAATAAGAATAAAATTAGTACATAAATTCATTAAACCCGAGCGTAATAAAATCTTACCAATGGCTGAGACTGTGTTGAAAAAATCGAAAGAATGTAAAAGGTTTACGACCGAGATTTGAACGTTTTTTACCGCACTTGGTAACTCAGTTTACACAACGATCGCGTTAAAATAAAAACTTCCACGTGAGTCAATGCTAATTACGTGTTTTTCCTACCGTACTTTAGCTTGGACAGTTTTTTAAATTATATTTGTAAAACTTAATTACCAATACAGTTTCTATTACTTATTTCACGGAATAGGTACTGCAACATTTTTTACCGTAAGTACTGTTTCTGGCAAGACGCTAATAGTAGAAAAATCCAAACATATTTTGTCCTACAGTCACCTGACAAAGCGGGCTTTCTTGCACTGATTGTAGCACGCATAGCAGCTAATTCATCCATTTACTTACTTTACCTAATTTATTTTACTTTGTCGCACTCAATTTACTTCGCCGCACTTTATTAGTATTTCAATCAAACAACATAAAATAGTGTGCTATTAGGCACGCAATATGGGTATTCTTGAAAACAAGATGGCAGCACTGCTGAATCGATCAGCTTGTGAAGTGTTTATTTGTGATTCCATTTTACCATTGATAGTTCTACAACGATTTAACCTATAACCTTGTTGTTACGTGTTAACATAAACATTGCAAACCAACAATTATATCGTGATTTTGATTTATTATGTAAGGTTTGCATTTTTTTGTGTAAAACTGTTTAGTTGAAGTTAACCTGCATGTAATTACCCATTATTTATGCTTCATAGTAACTTTAGGAAAAATATAATGTATAACGAATGTTAATGTTGCGAGTGCAAAGACTCTTTGCTGGACTCTATAAACTTTCTTTTAAGTGCAGCAAAGTGCTACTTTACGCACTAGTTAAACACATAACTATTGTTGGAAGATCACTAAGGTACCACTTTACCTACCTTTTCATTCATAAATTTTCCGAAAACTAACCGTCATCCCCCAAAATTGCCCTTTCGGTGGGTTTGGGAGATTTAAAAACAATCTCCCTAAATTCTATAAGGAGAAGTGATTTTTTACCACGACAAGAAACGATTATTCGTTTATTTTATGACGGTTTTAAACACCTGATATTAATTAGTGACAACTATCCTTGAATACTGTAATTTTCTGTGAAATATATCAATATAAATCAACTCCTCTTTCGGTCGTATTTTCCCTCAACATATAGTCTTCGACCGAGGATCGAGTGTCAGAAATGAGCCCAGCTCGGTGCCAGAGTAGACAGAATGCGAAAGTGGTCACGAAAAGTGCAATACTAATACTGAATTGCTACTTCCAGTCATACCCTTCCTGAAACTTGCTCCTTTTCTTCTTCTTCTGCTTCCTCTTCTGCTTCCTTGAACCTTAAGTTATTGGGTCGTGGTATTACAATTAACTACAATGAACCTTCACTGTTGACTATACATGGTTGTATTCATTAATGGCGGTTATTTTATTTATTTAGTGTCCAAATTAATTTTCATTGTTTTTGTGATCGTATTTAACGATGGTGTAATAACTTTCAAAGATGCAACTAAGGACTTAAGCACTGATCTGGTACTGTTTCCTAGTATGAATTTAATTACTGCAATATATGGGAGTAATGTGTGATGGCCACCCTTCTCATAATCTGTCTCTGCCAAACATTACAGAGTTTATATAGTCTAGTTTATATAGGTATATATAGTCAATGGTTTAGCTTTTTTCGTCGCAACATTCTCGTGCCATTTGATTTTCTGATACAAAGAAGTGGCTCTGATAGGTATCTTTTAGCGAATTTCCTTTATAGGGAATAAGCTATTACCGTAGGTCTCATGGCAAGACCTGGACCCGGGACCGATTTACTTTTTCGTTTTGATGTCCCCAGAGGTAAAAAATACCATCCGTTCAAATTCATATACTCTGACTATTCACTCCCGAGCCGTTAGCCTAGTATTGATGCGCACTTGCACACTCAAAAAGTAGTTCCAAACTCTGGTAATTATTTTAAATCGATATTGGCTATTTTAGGCCCGTCACTAATTATTACTTATTGGATTTCTATTATAAGTAGGGATACCGGCCGAGTACAGCCCCTCAGTGCAAAACACATGGCTTCAATCCCCAATGTTATTATGAACCCAAAACGTTCTAACCATATTTTCTATAAATACGTAAGATCAGAAAATCAGCAATGTAACGTAATTACATTATCATAAGAGGTTTTTATCGACCATGACCTAAATCAATGTAGCCTACTCAATTTGCTCAAGATCGCGTAGTTGGAGTTTTAATACATAATTGTTTTAATATAAACAATGCACCAAGTACAGTATCTTTGGACAAAAGTCAAGCGCACAATCATGAGGTGGGGTGGTCAGTCCCCGCAGAGACCTTGCGTTTATCCCCGTTCAAAGAGTGTTGAGCTTCTTTTATAGATCAGGCCACTTGGGGAATCGGGGTTTAATCTTTCAGCACAATGAGTAGGAACTTCTACTCGCTGTCGGGAGTACCTATAGTAAATCGCATTTAACTGTTTTAGCGAATTTCCCTATAGGGAAGTAGCTATTACCGTAGGTCTCATGGTAAGACCTAGGCCCGGGACCGATTTACTTTTTCATTTTGATGTCCCCAGAGGCCAAAAACACCATTCGTTAAAATTTTTATGTATCTATATATATGTGTCCATCCGCACGATAACTTGAATAATTTTTTCCGATTTTGATAAAATTTGGTTTGAAGTTGTAAGGCGAGATAAACTTGAATGAGTTCGCGAACCAGCATGATCGGACTATGGGGACGGGGATTTATGGGGGGGGGGGGGTTTATGGGGTAAAAATAGGGGTTTCCCATTTTTGACCCTAAAAACACAAAATTTCACAATTTCTTTCTAAACCATTTTGTAGAGCTTAATAAACAAATGATTTAGTATATTGAAGCGTTATTATGCGCCTAATTGTTACGGAGAAAATTCAAAAAAATTTTAATTTTAAAATTCCCATGTTATTCTTATGGAGAATAAGTCAACTGTTGTAGTTTGCTTGTTTATGAACATATTTTGATCAAATTTGGAAAATACATTAATTTCTTACTAAACCATAGTACCTTTTAACATTTTACATTAAAAAAAACTTTGTTACCCTCCCTGTTGCAGCAAACCTAAGTACTTATTAAACTAATTCTGTTTAAATAGGGAATAAATGTGATATTTTAGAGGAGACATTTTAGTTTAAATCCAATCAGGCAAATGGAAATTCGCTAAGTCTGCAGGTTTTCTGCGGCGGGGGTATTTATTTAACTGTTTTGTCGCGAGCTAATTAATATTGTTTTGGTAAAAATCAATAGTGTTTTAAGCTATTCTGAATAATAATAAATGGACTGTATTACAATACAAATTTTATTTGAAAGCAAGAACAACCATTATAATTTTTAAGGGTGTTTATGGATGTATCTGAATTAACTATTGAAAGAACAAATCCAGCTTTTGTTAAGACAATATGTAAATAAATTAAAATATAGTATTTAATAATAAGTGAACATGAAAGTAATTTGAAAGTTTCATTTCGTAGGATTGACCTTTTGATCCCGTTATATTTTCATCAGTCACTGCAGAACAGTTTTATGAAAGTTTAATTCGTGTGAAACGGCCCTGAAGGATACAACAGATGAATTATGAAGGGTTGCCACTTGCCAGCTTCGTGTATCATGGTGATAGATTGATTTTCTATGTCAACACAGTAAGCCAAACATTCTTAAGGATCGCTTAGTTTTTTGCCTAATCTGCTGCTTGTTCATTTTTATGTTCTGGTCTTACTGATAAATATTGGATACTTTAGTATGGTGATTACCGGTACCGGTAATACATTTTACATCGCTAGAATAAGGTGTCATCGCTGGAATTTATCTCTCTCTTACCTCTGAATCGATATTCAATAGTTGTTACTTAAAAAAAGATGCAATCGAGTTTCAGAAACCAAGTTGTATGTATTATATGTTAATTTGGATTAATATTTCAATTTCTGAGCGTAATACATTTGCATCTGCATACGCTCACCAACCCATCTGTAATGTGTTAAGTTGTTTAAAGTTTTGTTACATTTCCTATCCAGGTTAGACACAAATTCTAATGCATATCTGCATAGTGAAAACAGGTTTGTATAAATTTAGAGGTTTCTTCTAAATAACGGAATAAGGCTTTCTCGCCATAATGTATACCATCTTAATTTCCAAGTTGATTTGATATATATTTTAAAGATTCAATTGCATCAACAGGGATTTAGTTGAATCTAATAATATGGTAAACCTATTTTTATATCAAATTTTTAACTTTTTTTGCTTTTAAGTGTGTATTTTGTAGTCACGTTTTGACAGATTTAATTCACGATTTTACCTGGTCAACTGGTTGAAAGTTTTGTTAAATGTTTATTTATATAAGCTCCACAGGTTGTTTTACCAGAATGATGGAAGTGTGAATGTGTGTCGGGGTCGTACGGCAGTGCTATATTGATCCGGCGAAAACAAGATTGTACTCTACTTAACTTTATTGCGGTTTAAACCCCTCAGGCTGAGCATGCTCGTCAGCTGGTTTGTTTTGTATGAAGGTTGCATCAACAGACTACACTCGTAATAAAAGAAGGAATGAGGCTGGAGAATGAGATATATTTTACTAAAGTTTTATGGCGGCTTTTTTCAACCTTGCATTTGCCCGTCCACATAGCCTACTGATCTGTGCGTGAAACGTATCCAGCAAAGCAAGGGTTGAGCCGGTACAGTACAAAGGTGAACTGTACTAAATGTTTGTGGCAGTGACCAGGGTCCGAACCCACGACATCACTGCTTTGGGCCCGAAGTCCGTGACGCTACCAACTGAGCAACCGACTCACCTAAATAAATAAGTCAAACATTTATTTAAAGCAGAAATGTG